CGATCAAATTTAGCATACTTATTTTGAGGTCCAATCTGATCGTACGTGCAAAATTCCATACTATTCGGACTGATATTACACGCTTGGTGCACAATAAAAGGCAAATCGGACCGATTATCTCCAATTTCAATAGGGTTCGTCCTTGGGCCAAACAAATGATTTGCGCAAAGTTACATGTAGATAGGGCAATAAATGCGAACTGTACTTTGTTTACAAAAATACATGGACAGACGGACGGACGGACATGCATAAATCGACTCAGAATGTGATTCTATGCAGATCATCAAAAAAAGTAAAGTACTAAAACGTACTAAAAATTAAGTACTTTGTATTGGACAAACGGAGTCACTGATGAAGTGCAGGATAGATGTACCTAGGGGTTTATGGAAATTGTAACTTAAAGGTAGTGAAAAGTTCTAAAATGATACTAAACTTCCAAAATTTAACCAAATGGTACTATGTGAACGGATGTGGTAGGTTGAAAGTAAGAATGATGCAAAATGTGCAAAGTCTAATAAATGGTATTTCATTTGTACCTTTTTTGGGTGAACGGATGAGGATGGAATTTTGAAATTTTGTATTGGGGTCCCTTCACTGAAAGAAAAATGAATCGTTGTATAAACGAACCGGTTTCTTTGATTTTTTTTTTTTTCATTGATGCAATGAGAAGCTACATTAATATAATAAATGTTTTGTTCATGCAATGAAAACGTTGCTTTTAAAATACATGAAAAGGATTTCATTTATGTTGCGAAACTACTTATTTTTACAAAATTTTAAAAAATGTGAATATAGAATAGTCTTATACAAACAAATATGCAATCAAAGTGTTTAAAATTAGAGGGAAAATTGAGAAGAAATAATTGGTACATTTAAACTTGTGCTCTAATTTAATGAAGCAGTATCATGAACTGAATGAAACGTTACGTTATGGAGTTCGTTTTTAGGCCAAACAAATGGTACATGGAAAATTTCATCTCAATTGTAGAATTTTGTTCATAAAAATACGGTCAGACTTACCGACATGCATAAGCCGACTTAGAACGTGATTTTATAAAGATCATCCAAAAAAGTACAACGACAAATTACAATCTACAACAGTGCTCTGAAACTTCTTTCTTGCCGATTGGATTTCTGCTGGTATCTGTGTTTGAAATTTCCTGGTTGGGTTTAGAAATGCGTCCTATTTTTGTACGAAAAGCACTAAGTAGTACTAAATTTGGTATTGGGTAAAGGAATAAAACTGGAATCTGGAATATTGATACTGAGGCCTTTGTTGGTTTCTGGTATTGAGATGGTTTTGGAAATGCGTAATATAATTTTGATATATAATATAATTTTTAATGTGGCAAATTAAAAAGTTGAAATACGATAATTCTGTATTGGGGTCATTTTTGGTAACTGAGGTTTACATATGGATTGTTTTGAAAATGTGTACTTTAACTGTAGGAAAAGGCTACTAAATTTGGTATTTGGTGAAGGGGGTCTGTAGTTGAGGTAGTGAGGTGGGTTTGGATTTCATACCATGCTCGTAGGAATGAAAGGTGTAAAATGCAACGAAATGAGCCTTTGGGTTTTGAGATTGAGGTGGAATTCTGAAATCTGGATTCGAGTTCACTGTTGGTGTTTAGGGTGGAGAGAAGTAGATGGTTTTGGAAATGTAGAATAGTATGTATGTAAAGTATCGCAATAAATTTGGGATTGTGTCTTAGGATATAGCTAGAATTTTGAATTTGATACACTGTTGGTATGTCGTTTTGAGAGAAGTAAGTGGATTTGGGAATGCTAACTATTAATGAATCCCGAATTTGGATATTGTGATCATTGTTGGTTTTTATGATTTAGATATATGGTGGTGGCTAATTTTTATCATAAAGAGAAGCTGAAATTATTTTAGCCAAACAAATTGGAAGCATTTTAAAAGGGTTTAACTAATTTGTTCTTCGATAAGCTTCAAATCGAAAGATTTTGATGACTTTTTTTGCAAAAGTAATGATTTTTCCATTATCTTTTTGATTAAAGAAAACTGGAATATGAACAAAGTGGCGCAGATAAAATGTTATTACGATATATATTTTGGGCTAGATATAATTAATTTAGCATTTTGAATACCAAAATGAACTGGTGCAATAAATCTAAAATTTTAAGGTGAATTTTTCGCTGACGGCGAAGTGGGCACTTGCTTGTATACATACGAATCTAGGATTGGAAGTTGCTTAAAAATATTCATAAAATTCAATAAAAATTAAAATCTTGAAGCCTTTCGCAAATATTTGTAAAAAATCCTCGTCTATTGCCTTTTCAAAAATATTCTTTAAAATCTACGCTTTGTGGCAATTCCGAAAATGTTCGTGGAATCTGGAGGATTTCTAAAACTAATCTCAAAAATCCAAATGTGGGAAGTTTTTAAAAATATCCATGAATACCCTGATAAATTCTTTAAAATTCAGGTTGAGGAGGTCTATATAAAGATTTATCTATAGTTAAAGTAAGCTGAATTATATAGAAAAAATAAGAAAAGCCTGTGGTGTTATTTTATAACCTCAACCATAGTATGGAGGGTATATTAAGATTGACATTCCGTTTGTAACACCTCGAAATATACGTTTTAGACCCCACAAAGTATATATATTCTTGATCAGCATAAAATTCTATGTCGATTTATCAACGTCCGCCCCTCTGTCCGTCTATCCGTCTATGGAAATCTCTATAGCTTCCGAACAAAATGAAGTAGGTTGATAAAATTTTACTCAAATGTGTACTAGTCTGCAGGACTTTTCGCATTGAAAATGGACCATGTAGGTCCACGTCTACATATAGCCCCCATATAACGGTACCTCCCGATATGCGGTATTTTCATAATTCTAGCGACATTTTTTACCGAAATTGTTTCAAAATTAATATTTAAAATTCGTAATAGATGCTACGACTTAAGATAGAAAATGGGCCATATAGGTTCACGTTTTCGTATAGCCCCCATATAACGGTACTCCCCGATATTCGGTATTTTCATGATTTTAGTGACATTATTTACCGAAATTGTTTCAATTTTGGTATTTGAAGTTCATAATGGATACTACATCCCAAGACAGAAAATGGGCCATGTAGGTCCATGTCTTCGTATAGCCCCCATATAACGGTACCTCCCGATATGCAGTATTTGATGATTTTAGAGACATTTTTTACCGGAACTATTTCAAATTTCAAGTTCGTAATGGATGCTATAGCCTATGACAGAAAATTGTCTGTGAAGGTACACGCCTTCGTATAACCCCCATATAACGCTACTCCCCGATATTCGGTATTTTCATGATTTTAGCGACATTATTTACCGGAATTGTTTAAAATTTCGTAATGGATACTACATCCCAAGACAGAAAATGGGCCATGTAGGTCCATGTCTTCGTATAGCCCCCATATAACGGTACCTCCCGATATGCAGTATTTGATGATTTTAGAGACATTTTTTATAGGAACTATTTCAAATTTCAAGTGCGTAATGGATACTTCAGCCTAGTCAGAAAATTGTCCGTGCAGGTCCACGTCTACGTATAGCCCCCATATAACGGTACCCCCCATATTCGGTATTTTGATGATTTTAGCTACATTAAAAACAGATTTTTTTCAAGTTTCGCATTTGAATATTGTAATAGCTTGTGACAAGAGTTGCCTATTCAGGTCTACGTCGTCATATAGAATCTAATATACCGCGTTTTTAGCGGATTTTATTTTTTTGAAAATTGTTATATTTGTACCCATTAGTGGAGGGTATTCAAAGTTCGGCCCAGCTTTTCTACTTGTTTATGACTAGAAAAACACATTGCTGACTTAATGTTTTCCTTCAAAAAAATTAAACTTATCTTATTATGTTATCCATATATAGATTTTCGAAAACTCTCCCTTTGATTTTAATTCCATTAAATTTCGATATTATATTTTTATTTTAAAATAAAAAAGAATCAAAAACATAAATGTATGTAATTACCCAAGACTCAGGTGTTTCCTCTAAACACCACTAGGATTTGACTGTGTAAGTGTCAGACGTGGCGTGAAAGTGGTCTAAAGTTTCGCAGTTAATTATATCTTAATGCCAGCACTACCTGCCAGCCAGCCAGCAACCATCCGTTTCCAGGGCTGGCTTCTGTTTCCGAAATGCCACAAGACATTGTTGGAGGTTTTGTTGGCGAAACTTTGATAGTTGCCGTTATGGATGGTATAATGCGGTTCTTTTTCATTCCTTCTTGTTTGCTTCTTGTTGTTAAGAAAATGTGTAAACTTTGTAAATTTTATAGAAAATGTGGAATTAACTATAAGATATTCATGCAATATGTGACCGGTCCAAGAGAGTAGGGTTAGTCCCTAGTTAGGGTAATGGAAACATATGAAAATTTAAATTTTTGGAACAGGCTGCAAATAGAGGGAAATATTAATATGTCCCAATGATCAAGATATTGGATATAAGCAAGTTGGCATTTAATGGGTTTTTTATATAATTTCTTCCCCGAAGAACAATTTTGAAAATGATGAAATTAAAAAAAGATTCACTTTCGTTTGAAAAAAAATCATAAATCCACAAATGTTCTGCTGAAAATTGAATGTATTTATCTTTTATACTCTGAGCACCGCATTTATTTAATTCAATTAAAAATGTGTCATGATTGTCTGGACTTTGTGCAATTTCTTATGGACGATATTTTAAAGTCAGATTTAAATTAAACGACAGGCAGCATACGGTCACAAGCTACAAACTGTCTTTATTTGTGATAATTCAATTACGTGAAAAACTATGTTTATCTTCGAAATAAAGATCAACAACAACAACATCAACACCAACCACTACTTTGGATATAATCGCCACCGTACGGTATAAGCAACAAAGTATGTAGGTGTAGCTTCATAGACATGTGGGGCACACAATAACATTTGTGTGCTACACAATTGATCCGCTACACCCATTGTATATAGAATTTTTAGTTCGGACATTATATTCGAAGATAGCGCACCGCATCTCGGCAACAACGGTTACAAAGCGAGCAGAAAATATCACAATAGTATTTATTTGAGTTTAAAAATTTTCAAAATCAAATTATGTTTGGGAATATTGAGAAAATATAAATAATCTGATGAAAATAAAAAAAAAATAAATAAATAAATAATCCAAAATCATGCCGGTCTTCAATAGACATAAATTCTAATGAAAGCTAATTATAGTTTTAAAAAACCTTCCAAAATTTAAGATATGCCAGAAATGTGTGACTCCAAAAATTCGTCTGCGAAGTGCTTTAAAATATTATAATAAATCATTATTATTATATTATAATAAATAATCTGACCTTAATTTGTAGCTAAATCCTTCAAAACAGTTTAAATCCATATTTGAAATAATTTTAATAGTATTTTTCTAATTATAATTCGATCGTCAAAGCTCCGAATATAAAATAAAACTAATCTTACAAAGTGCCAAGTTTGAAGAGAACTGGAGAATAATTTCGTATTTTATATCAATTATGATTATTCAAAATTTCAATGCGAAATCAAATGCTTTATTTTTTGGGTTAGTTTGAAGAAAATCGGATATTAAGCGAGTTTTTGTCACATATTAAGAGAGTTATTGTCTTCCATGCTCCTTGCTGACCGAAATCTGATATAAATATAACCACGGTCCAAGTTTGAATTGTATAGTGCAATCGATTAGCTTTATACGATTTTGTTTCTACTTTGTGGGAGGAGGTTCTGGATTGAGCTGGCCAACATTGTCCATTTTCAAAAAGGATAACAATTTTATCTAAATATTACGATGTGACAAGTTTGAATTGTCACGGGTACTCCCTCATCATATTTTGATATTTGTAAAGCAACATTTTTTAACTTTCATGGGAGAGGTACCAGATTTTGATTTGATTTACGCGTTGCGCTAACATATACCGAAATATTGGATGTTTGAAATATGAAGAAGGTCAGACACTGATTTCATACCTATCGAGGGAAATTGGCCTAATGTACATTTTCGCACATGAGCTTAATCCAAACCGCTTTGCTCACCATGAGATTTGTAATTTTTGCAAAATGTTGAAATGTTTTAGAGGAGATTCCAGAGAGAGGGAGAGAGAGAGAGAGAATCGAACTTATCGGACACTCCCTAATCCTGCGATCCTGCATATTACCCCGACAGACAAGCGGACGTAAAGGAATGTACACATTGACGGACACTAATAAGAAGATAAGAACTATCCTTGTTTTTCTACCTGTTGGGACTTCTTCCCGAAATGGTTTCGAAAGGCATTTCTGGGTATGTTCCTATAGACGGATATGTCTAGAACTACCCCAAATGTCCAAAGAGTCCAGGCACATTTAGACCCGATCAAATCTATAAATTTGCTGAGGGTGTAAATTATTTAAAAGTATGTATTTTTAATCTTATGTGAATACAAGTGGTCAAAGGCTATAGTCGTGCGGGACCGACTATGTAATACAGTACAACACTACAATATTTAGAAGCCCCCTTATGTCCAAATCCATATTGGAATTTGGAATTAGGTTTTGACTAGGGACATTTGTCCAATATTTATGCACTCCGTCGTGCTGTTAGTTGGTGTAGTCCATTTTACAGCTAAATATAATGTTAAAATTCCTCCCTGTCCTTAAGTCTTTTCACAGGCGTGTCGATTGGCTTCAATTGTTTGTAGTTAATTTGAACTCCTAAATATTTTGCAATCATCTCGAAAAGCAAGAAGCCCCTCTGTATCTCCAAATTTAGACTCATCTATGAGATTTGCTTGTCTACGATATTTGGCTAATTTCGTCAACGAAATCAGAATAAAAAAGCTAGAAGTTCGCATTTTGTGTATTTCGGATATCGCCTGTAAGTAATGCTGGTATTTTTTCACACAAAATTAGTGGTCCATTGTACCCGCTGTCCTACACTCTAACTTTATGCGATATTTCGTGTCCTTTGGTTTCTATTTGTGACCTTCAAAATCAGGAACATTTTTAGTTGTTGGTCCATTTCAACCATTTCGACATCTTTGAACAATAGGCCTAACCCTTCTGAGCCCAACCCTACCCTTGTGAAAATTTTCGTGAGAATCGGACGATATTAGCAATACTTATATAATATCCCCAACCTGTGTTGAAAGATGAAAAATATTACAAAATATACACTTCAATATTGTAAGTAATTAAAAAAAATCGCATGCGATAAAAAAAATGTAAATATAGAAAAAATGAACAAAATACTACAAAATCTAAATTAACATCATTATTGGCATATCTTTCTGCGATTTTTTTAGATTTTATACTTTAATGACAGGAGGGCATTCTGAATTGACAAAATTTGTTAAAATCGGTCCAGCCATTCTTGAGATATAAGTATTCTAACTAACATCCCCTTCCTTTGTATATACACATTGTATATATTTCACTATATATAACCGATATATTTACTATCGGCATCTACATAAAGGTCAGAATTGACCTGTTCGTCTATTTGTTATTTCGCCAGGATTAAAAATATTCGCGGTTTAATGGAAAATTTGACTTTTATTTAACACAAATGTTGTGGCCTATTTCACCCACTAAATATTACCCGATGACCATCAAAATTGGAAGGCTTCTGCCCAGCCCTAAGCTCTAGCCACATACTAACTTTAATTGGTCTTTAATTGCGACCTGTAGAGCAACTGCAAAATCAGGCATTTTTTCAGTTTTTGGTCCATTTCAACCCCTAAATATTATGCAATCATCTCCTCCATTCTAAATTTCGTGAAAATCGGACCATAATTGCGACCTGTAGAGTGATTACAAATTAACATGGACAGACGGACAGACGGACGGACGGACGGACGGACATACATAGCTAGATCGACTCAGCTCGGCGAGATAGGAAGATCCATATATACTTTCCTATGTGGGAAACCAATATTTCGTGGTGTTACATAATTTTTGGCCCAATCAAACTTATAATACCCCCAACACAGTGTTGTAGGTTGTAAAAATTGTCAATGTATGTTTTCGTATAGAGTATACATACGTATACCTGCCGTATGCATTCGTATATTTCACAATATTAGAGTTTGGATGTTTTAGCCTGATTTTAAATGGTGAATGAGATCTTAGGTATATTTTCGCATTTGTAAATTGAAATTTTTTAACGGTTTTGATCAATAAATTAAAAATTGATAAAATTTTCAATTTTGATCATTTTTTGATCCATTGTATGGAGGGTATCTGACAAAAAAAAAAAAAAAAAACATATACGGGCTCACGACTTCGTATAGCCCTAGTATTACCGTTTTCATTTAAGCGGTATTTTTCGACATTTTCAAAAAATTTCAAGTTCCTTGGAGATTGTGGAGTGTATTAAAAGATTGGCGCTGCCGAGCTTAACCGCTTTTTACTTGTTTAGTTTTCATTTGGAAGTGGCAGAATATGGCTGAAAAGATCCCTTGAGTATGAAGTCTCAACAAAATGAATTCCTTCTCCTAATGAGCGAGAGTATCAAAGTTCTCTCCAAGGAATTCCCACACATGGCCATTTTTTCCATATATCGTGAATTTTACGGAATGTCCAAATAAAATATGATATAAGAAACGTAAAATTCAGAAAAATAGATGGTCCATCCACTTAGTCCAATTTTTGCATACTATTCCCAACATTTCGCCCGGTATCTCACAAATAAATGCTACACAGTTGTTTCCGTCTTGTTGAAACCACATGTTGGATATCATCTCACGGCAGCGCTCACGTTCCAATGACGCCACTAGCCCATAGACCGCACCAACCTGTGACTTTTACTGATCTTCCATTTAAAATTGACAATTCTGCTTGAGCCAATACTCAGTTTCGTACCTGAACGATGATCTTTCTTAAAAGAGATTGCATGTTGATAATAAAATACAATGATTTGCACGAGTGTATCGTTTGTAAGATGCGACTAATGGCTGCATTTTAGACCCAACTGAAGGCATTTGACAGTAAAGCAAAACGGGAAACATGAGTGCGGTCTAAACCAGTGTTGCCAGAAAGTTAATATCTAAAAAATCACCCTTTACAAAGTTACCCTACCGTAATAATATATGGTAAAACCCTCAAAATACATAAAATCGGATCATTTAGAAACGCGAAAGTACATCGCGAATTAAATGTTACATAATTCCATTGAAAGGGAAACTTTTAGAATATCCATTAGTTTCGGTGGGTGAGACCCATCACCAAAATATACTGAATTCATTATAAAATATCCTGCAACTGAATTAATATGGCATTGTTAACTTTATGGGCATATCACTTATTTGCTCATTTTCACTCTGGAACGAAACTTGTTCGCGAGCAGGATTGCTCGAAGAGTGGGAACTTCTTTACGGAGTCTACTATTCATTCTTTTGTTTTGAGTTGAAGCACTCACCAGTCACACGAGGGAGAAAGAGTTTTTATTTTCTGATGAGACGGGGTTTGATGTTGCTATTTTCTGTAGAAGAGGATATTAAGAGGGGGAGTGAGGGGAAGATGGGTTGTGATATTGTACAGAAAAGTACACATACATGGAAATACAACAAAGGTAAAATAAAAACTAAAAGTGTGCTCGGAAAGAGTTCAATAGGAAAAACGATCACTCATATTCAAGCGACATGGAGTTTGATCCATTTTTTCAGCTCCGCTCGAAAACGTGTAAGTTTCACTCTTTTCAAATTCGAGCAAATTTTTCGGAGGTCTGCTTATGAGTGTAAACAGTTTTGGTACCCTACACCACAAGGTGGTCAGGTTATTATGTCTTTGTGCATTTGTTTATAACAGGCAAGAAGAAACGAGATAGACCCATAGTTCCTTTTGATGATCTGCATAGAATCACATTCTGAGTCGATTTATGCTTGTCCGTTTGTCTGGCCATGTATTTTTTAAACAAAGTGCAGGTCGCATTTATTGCACATGTTTTTTGTTTGACCCAAGGATGAACCCTTTAGAAATTGGTATTTGATAATCGGACACATATATACGTTCGTCCGATTTGCCTTTTATTGTGCACCAAACGTGTAATATCAGCCCAAATATTGAATTGAATTTTTTTGAATGGAATTTTACAAATACAACAAAATTAGGCCTGAAAATAAGTACGCCAAACTTTATCGAAATTGGTGCAAATATAGCTTTAGCTTCCATATATATTGTTAATCCGATTTGTTATTTTTGTCCTCCGCAGCCGTAATTTGTACTCTGTAGCAACGATATTTAGGGAAATGTATTAAATACAGCTCAGAAATGTCTTGTATCGAGATCGGTTCAAATTTGGATATAGCTCCCATATATATATATCTTCGACCAATTTGCTTTTTTTGTGCACCAAACGTGTAATATAAGCCCAAATGGAATGGAGTTTGGTACTTACCACCACATTGGGTCTAAAAACAAGTATGTTAAATTTGGTAAAAATCGGTGCAGATCCCATATATTTTGTTCATCCGATTTGTTGATTTTGTTCAGCACAGCCGTAATATGCACTCGGTAGTAATGATATTCAGGGAAATATATCAAATACAGCTCAGAAATACCTTTGCCAAATTTTATCGAGATTGGTTCAGATTTTAATATAGCTCCAATATATATATTTATCCGATTTCAAGTTAATTGTGTACCTAATATGTAATACAAGCTGGAATCGAAAAGACGCTAATGCTTTGGCAAATTTAGTGGAAATCGATTAAGAGGAGGATATTCCTTTCATACCTTAGTTCCTTTAGACTTTAAGTTATAACTATAATCATAGTTGGTATGATTTAATTCTCACAAATTCTCCCATAAAAACTTTTATTTGTTATGTGAAGCTCTACCAAATATGCAAAGTGGTGTAGGATATCATAAAGCCGACCTCGTCCAACTTTAAAACTATCTTTACTGGTTTTATTTGACAAAATTCTTATGAACTCCGATTTTCTCTTTACTCTTATATTTTCTCAATGTGTCCCACAAATAAGAAAACTTTTTAGTAAATAACATAAGAAGAACATTTTTATTCCTTTAAAAGTCCATGGAAAATGTTCAATCGAACGTACTGTAATTTTGAAAAACATTGAATAACTTAAAACGTTTAAAAACCACCAAAAACAATTAAACCCAGTACTCCGGTACTTTGTACTTATCACAAAAAATCAATCAAGAGGGGAAAGAAAAATTCACATGCAAAAAAATTAACAAAAACCCCACGCCAAAAAAATCGACAAAGTGAAACAAACAAAAATAATCGAAATCGAAAAATCAAAATGGTGGAAAATCGAAAATTGTTTTATGCAATTAGTGTATTGTTGTTGTTGAGTTGCTGTCAAATTATTACAATGTTTCCACATAATGCAGATAGCGAGTCGATGCTGCTGCTGTCAGCCGGCAATGGAGATGGCGAGAATAAGACCAGCAGCTCTGGCCTAGCAAATACCAGCAATAACAGTGAATACAATCGGGCCAACGTTGATAGCGCTAGCAATCAGAGCTATGGCAACAATGACGATGATAGTGAATTTATAATAGCCGTGGAAAGGATGCACCAGCACCACCACCAGCAGCAGCGGCAGACAATGGAGAAGCCTATCGATGAATCGTCATCCAACTTGGCTGGCATGGGCAACCAGGGAGTGTGGGAGGCACCACCAGATAGTGAGCCATCGGAAAATATTGATGATTTGATTTTTCTGGACAAACGACCAATTAACCAGCATCAGTACATGGCCCGACTTCCGCCGCGCCTTTCGCCATCTCCACCACCAGCAAGAAAGGAACAGCATTTGTTTGAAATTCATCTTCATCTGAGTGCCGATGGTCAGGACAACGATAGCGGCAGCAGCAGCTGTACATCTGATGAGCATTCTGATTCATTAACACATCCAACATTTGCCTCATCAACGGCATCATCAGCCAAGGATACAGATGCCGATGCCGCATTGCCACCGCATGAAATTCAATTACAACCGGACAATAATGAAGAGGTCAGTGGAACGTTGACAACAGCGACCACGACGGCGGTCCCATTTACCCCCCTGGACTTAAGCGATTTTCTATCACTAATACCGGCTGCCAAAGTCAAAGCCATCGTGGCCCATTATTATCGCAATGATCCGGAAGTTCAGCGTGCCCACGCATTCATGTCTAGTCGAGATTTCATTTCGCTGGAACAACACATTTTTTCGTTACCGGAAATGTCAGCATTTTTACGTTATTTAAATAGCAGTGGTTTGGACTTGGTACATTTCATAACAACACTCACCAATGTGACGTCGCCGGTCGGGGTAGGCGATACAGACGAACCGACAACAGAAAAAGGTCAAATGGCTCCATCGGCACTCGAGACAAATGGTGAGTATGAAATTGATGCAAAGCTTTAGCAGAAGGGATGACTAGCGCAAAAAAAAAAAACAAGCGATCTAAAATGGACAGCAAAATGGTCGCTGGAAAATGAAGAGGTTTTATGTAATTAGTAGCAAATTATTCCAACCATCCATCCATCCATCGCGAAAATCCCACCATGTTAACAATATTGTAATAGGATTTTGTTACAGACACCGAATCACGACGATGACGGCGATATCATTTCAACCGTTAAGTGAATGGTTTCATTTAGCTAAAGTGGTATTTAATTGGGAGTAAAGCAAGAAGCTTGTTACACGACCGTTTCCTTTGAAATTGTATTTGTCAAAGGAATTTTAATTGTAGCAAAGGACATTTGCAAGCGCTCAGAAATGAGGTGGGATATGGTAGGGTGTCTAAGATTGCCATTCCCTTTTTAGCCTGGAAAGATGGAATTAATTTAAACATTCAGAATATATGTCGTGTAGATTTCACGGCTTGACTATATGCATAGCTTCGCCAAACCCAATGGGACGTATTGATCCATGACATTCCTTAAATAGTTCCTTTTTCCGGGAACAATCAGTTTATAATAGTACTTACCAGATATTTGATTTTCTCGTTTTTACTCGCGGACAGGAGTACCCAAAAAGATAAAAAAAGAGATTTTCGTAGAAAAATGCTCGGAAATGGTCTAAAAATTTACAAATAAAAAGGGCGCCGCCATCGCAGGGGTACGCCCGTACGTAGGCTTTGTTGGTAGAGATTGGCGAAAATGTTGTTCAATGTATTAATTTTGGTTTCGTTTGCATCTGTGGGCATCTACTTACAAAAAGAACAACGATATGTCAAAAATTAAAAGAGTATCCCGCAGGAGTAGAGTTTGCTAATTTCACTCGCACTCAAAAATGAGCAAATAATACTCCCTCTTATTCGTGTAATATAGAAAAATAAAGTACACTCCATTTTTATACACTCCACCAAAAAAAGTATGGAGGGTATATTAAGTTCGTCATTCCGCTTGTAACTCATCGAAATAATCATTTTAGACCCAACAATGTATATATATTCATCGTTCTCCACTAATAAACAAACGTTGTTTTTATAAAAACAACAATAAAGGGATAAGCCTGACCATTTTGCAACAACAAAATATTCTTGATCAGCGTAAAATTCTAAGACGACTTAGCCCTATCCGTCCGTCCGTCTGTAGTAATCACACTACAGTCTAAACGAATTAAGATAGGAAGCTAAAATTTTGCACAGATCTCTCTTTTGTCTGCAGGCAGGTCAAGTTCGAAGATGGGCTATATCGGTCCACGATATCGTATAGCCCTCAGAGAATTATTTATATAATTCTATAATATAATTATTGGCAGAGAATTATCTATATATGTCCACAATATCGTATAGCCCCTATGTAATGGTACCCCCACGGTATTCGGTATTTTCATGATTTTAGCCACATTTTTCAATGGAATTGTCTGAAATTCGACAAAATGAGTCCCTTGTGGACATTTTATCCCTTCAAAAAGACCAAAATTCGGTATTTTGCATTTTTCAATGGAATTGTCTGAAATTCCACAAAAGGAGTCCCTTGTGGGCATTTTACCCCCCAAAATGAATTGTCTATACAGGTCCACGATATCGTATACTCCCTATAACGGTACCCTCTGATATACTGTATTTTGATTGTTTTTCCCACATTTTTCATCGGAATTGTCTGAAAATCCACACAAGGAGTTCCTTGTGGGTACTTTGTCCCTCGGCAGAGAATTATCTATATAGGTCCACGATATCGTATAGCCCCATATAACGGTACGCCCGATATTCGGTATTTTGATGTTTTAGCCATATTTTTCAACGGAATGGCCACAAGGTGTTCTTTGTGACCACTTTACCCCCCGACAGAGAATTCTCTATATAGGTTAACGATAACGTATAGCTCCCATATAACGGTACCCCGTGATAGTAGGTATTTTGATGATTTTAGCCACATTTTCCAATCGTATTGTCTGAAAATCCACACACGGAGTTCTTTGTGAGTACTTTACCCCCTGAAACGGAATTGTCTATATCGGTCCACAATATCGTATATGATGATTTTAGCCACTTTTTCAATAGAATTATCTGAAAATCCACACAAGGAGTTCCTTGTGAGTGCTTTACACCCAGACATAGATTTGTCTTTATAGGTTCACAATATTGAATATCCTCCCATATATCGACACCTTCCTATATTAGAAATTTTAAAGATTTTAAAAGAATTTTTAATGGATTTTATTTTTTTGAATATTTTCTAATTCGTTCCAAATGATGGAGGGTATTCAAAGTTCGGACCGGCCGAACTTACTGCTTTTTTACTTGTTCAAATCTGAAATTATTTTATTAAAAAAATGGACCAATATTGTCCATTTCGTTTCTGGTCTAAGTCTGATTTAAGTATCAGATTTAAGTATCTCACTTTATATAAGATGTTTTTATTAATTTTTGGAAAATTAAATGGGGTGGATTTATTGGACCAAAGCACTCCACGTTATCTAATACTGATAAAAATATATAAATAATAAGAGTTAAACATAACTTTTACCTTTTGTGGGTCGAAAGAGTGACCCGATAAGTTCCATATTCACATCAGATCTTTCATTGAGAAAAATAAGTAGTTGAAAGAGAGAGTTTGAAAAGAATCGCTGACTTGTTTCGCCCGTTTTGTGAGGTATATATGTATTATAAACTGTGAACCTTTGCGGGATAGGTACCAGAATGGGTAGGCTGATATCTAACATTTTCATAATGAATTTGTATTGGTAAAAGTATTGGGATATGCATATTTCACATTTTATGAGAGATATAATTATTCAAAAATGTTCACCCCTTGTGGGAGGTGGGGAGTACCAGATGTTTTGATAGATAAATTGGGATGAGCCAAGATTGAGAATAATCGGATGTTCATCTCGCGTTTTACGAACTTCATGACTATTCAAAATTTTGTCCTTGTGTGCCTTCGCAGCAGATGTGCTATTAATAGTTTTGGAATGAGTGAAATTGGAAAACAATCATTATAAGAAATACAAATGTTGATCCTTTGTAGGAGATGTACTTGATGTAGTGAGCCGATATTTGCCATTTTCGCACCTCTTCTCTTGCTATGCAGTAAATTATTTCATTTGAAAATGTTGACCTTTTGTGGGAGGGGACCGATATCGCTCATCGCCAAATTCGATCCAAGTTTGAACATTTTATTAGGATGTACCAAGTCTGGACGAAGTCGAATACTCCCTTCGAGAGTTATCATGCGCAACAGCCAGCTTGTCAGACAGAGAAATGACACACTTACATCGATCTTAAATGTCGTAAAATAGATTTGGTCCAAAGAGACCTAGGGTGTAAAATCGTTATTTCGATTAGGCACATTCTGGCCGTATCAAATTATATACACCCTGTGTAGCCAGAAGCTCCAAGTCAGCATCAAAAATGGAAAATACTTTTCCACTCATTTCTATACCTCTCTCAATATAGGTCATACATGAATTCTTTTGAAATTTCATATGCTTATTATAGGTACCAAATATAAAAAAATACAAAGCGGGGAATCTGCCATTCTGAAATTTAGCTTGGTGGTACTTCTGATATAAAGGTGAAATTCGGCTAAAATTTGATTTCAAAAATTGTACTCCTATGGAATTATAAAACTACCACATGAACTACTTACATTCTTACTGTTCAGAATTAAGATATTCGATCAGGTGAGATATAACAATGATGATGTAGAATTTCATCCCATAACTTTCAAAAAAGTATTAAAAACAAGTAAGCAAAGGCTATAGCCGTGCGGGGCCGACCATCTGATACCCTACAACACTACAATATGTTAGAAGCACCCTTATGTCCAAATCCATTTTGGAAGATTTCGTTTTTGAATTTTTGTCGTGGAGCACTGCCCACTGTTTTGGTTCATTTGAGCCCCTTAATATTTTGCGATCATCTCCAAAAGCAAGAAGCCGTTCTGCACCTACAAATTTAGACCCATCTATATGATTTGCTTGTCTACGATATTTGGCTATATTCATCAACGAAATCAGCATAAAAAAGCCAGAAGTTCGCCTTTTGTGTATTTCGGATATCGCCTGTAAGTAATGTTGGTATTTTTTTTTTTCACACAAAAGTAGTGGTCAATTCTACCCGGTGTCCTTTGATTTCTCTTTGCAACCTTATAACGGCTGCAATCAGGAAAATATTTCAAGATATGAGAAGGATTCATTTATAGCTGGATTTTGAGATTCTTGTAAGGCAATTGAAAATAATTATACGATATTTTTAGATTTTATTCTCTTATGCCAAGAGGGCATTCTGAATTGACAAAATTTGTCAAAATCGGTCAAGCCATTCTTGAGATATAAGCATTCTAACTAACATCCCCTTCTTTTGTACATACACATTGTATATATTTCGCTATATATAACCGATATATTTACTATCGACATCTACGTAACGGTCAGAATTGACCTGTTCGTCTATTTGTGATTTCGTCGGGATTAAAACCAGTAAGGAAAGCTCAAAAGTCGGGTGGGGCCGACTATATGATACCCTACACCACTATGCATATTTAGTAGAGCTCTCGTAAAAAGGTTTATACAGGGCATTTCAGAGCTCTATGATATTTGGTACAAAATCAAAATCTATCTAATTTTATCGTGCATTTTACGAACTATAGCTATCTCTGAACCGGGTTTCTCCAAATTTTACGTATTAGCTTCTAGACTGAATTCGGTCTTATGTACGAAAATTCAGGTGATTTGGGCTGACATTGACCATTTAGTGCACATTTAACCCGAAATCGGATGAAGATATATATGGGAGCTATATCCAAATCTAAACCGATTTCGATAAAATTTAAAACAGCTATTCCTGTGCTCCATCTAATACCTGGTACCAAATATCACGGTAGTGGAGTGAATATCACGAATGTATGGGACTAAAACACTAAATCGGATGAAACATATATATGGTTGCTATATCTATATCTGAACCGATTTTCACTAAATTTGATATACTTGCTTCTAGGCTGAATTTGGTCCGATGTACTAAAATTCAGTCCATTTGGATTTATATCGGCCATTTGGTGCACAATTAACCCGAAATCAGATGAAGATATATATGGGAGCTATATCCAAATCTGAACCGATTTCGATAAAATTACAAACAGCTATTTCTGGGCTGTATCTTATATCTGGTACCAAATATCATTCTTGTGGAGTGCATATTACGAATGTGAGAGGCTTAAACACCAAATCGGATAAAACATATATATGGGAGCTATAGCTGTTTCTGAACCGATTTTCTCCAAATTTGTTGTATTTTCTTTAAGGCTAATCTCGGTCACATGTGCCAAAATTCGGGCCATTTGGGCTGATATTGGCCATTTGGTGGTCAATTAACCCGAAATCGGATGAAAATATATATGGGAGCTATATCCAAATCTGAACCGATTTCTATAAAATTTAAAACAGCTATTTCTGTTTTTCATTTAATACCTGGTACCAAATATCACGGTTGTGGAGTGCATAGTAGGAATATGAGGGACTTAAAGATCAAATCGGATGAAAGATATATATGGGAGCTATAGCTATATCTGAACCGATTTTCTCCAAATTTGATATACTTGCTTCTAGGTCGAACTCGGTTGGGTGTGCCAAAATTCAGGTGATTTGGACTGATAGTGGACATTTGGTGCACATTTAACCCGAAATCGGATGAAGATATATATGGGAGCTATATCCAAATCTGAACCGATTTCGATAAAATTTAAAACAGCTATTTATGTGCTCCATCTAATACCTGGTACCAAATATCACGGTTGTGGAGTGCATAGTAAGAATGTGAGGGGCTTAAAGATCAAATCGGATGAAAGATATATATGGGAGCTATAGCTATATCTGAACCGATTTTCTCCAAATTTGATATACTTGCTTCTAGGCCGAACTCGGTTGGGTGTGCCAAAATTCAGGTGATTTGGACTGATAGTGGACATTTGGTGCACATTTAACCCGAAATCGGATGAAGATATATATGGGAGCTATATCCAAATCTGAACCGATTTCGATAAAATTTAAAACAGCTATTTCTGTGCTCCATCTAATACCTGGTACCAAATATCACGGTTGTGGAGTGCATAGTAGGAATGTGAGGGACTTAAAGATCAAATCGGACGAAAGATATATATGGGAGCTATAGCTATATCTGAACCGATTTTCTCCAAATTTGATATACTTGCTTCTAGGCCGAACTCGGTTGGGTGTGCCAAAATTCAGCTGATTTGGACTGATAGTGGACATTTGGTGCACATTTAACCCGAAATCGGATGAAGATATATATGGGAGCTTTATCTAAATTTGATCCGATTCTCACCAATTTCAATAGGGTTCGTCCTTGGGCCAAAAAAATATTGTTTGGAAAATTTCATCTCAATCGGATAATAAATGCGACCTGCATTTTGTTCACAAGAATACATGGACAGACGGACGGACGGACGGACAGACGGACTGACATGCATAAATCGACTCAGAAAGTGATTCTATGAAGGTTCTCAAAAGTAACTATGGGACTATCTCGTTTCCTTCTCCATGTTACAAACAAATGCACAAAGACATAATACCCTTACCACTATGTGGTGTAGGGTATAAATATTCGCGGTTTAATGGAAAATTTGACTTTTATTTAGCACAAATGTTGTGGCCTATTTCACCTACTAAATATTACCCGAATACCGTCAAATGGAAGGCTTCTGCCCAGCCCTAAGCTATAATTGCTACCTGTAGAGCAACTGCAAAATCAGGATTTTTTTCAGTTTTCAATTTCAACCCCTAAATATTATGCGATCATCTCCAAAAGAAAAAGGGTTCTATTCTGGCCCAAACCCCACCTCTATTCTAAATTTCGTGAAGATCGGACCATAATTGCGACGTGTAGAGTGATTACAAATTAATATGGACAGACGGACGGACGGACATACATAGCTAGATCGACTTAGCTCGGCGAGATAGGAAGATCCATATATACTTTCCTATGTGGGAAACCAATATTTCGAGGTGTTACATAATTGTTGGCCCAATCAAACTTATAATACCCCCAACACATAGTGTTGTAGGGTATAATTATCGGTAAAGGTAGAATTTCGAATCTTACATTTCAAATATTCAACATTTGGGATATTAAACAAATTACCAATAATATTAAGTGCGAAAAAGTAGATCTAGAATTCTTATATATGAAAGAGTCGAAGAAGTCAAAGTAAGACGTTAATAAGTCACGTGACATTAAACAAAAAATCAAAAAAAAAAATGTTGATTTTAAAAAAAATTTGAAATAGGTTCTACAGAATTGTTACCATCATTTTTTTTAAGGAAACCCTATTAGACTTAAAACCACCAAATAAGTGCCTCTTTATGATTTTAAAGCTTCAAACGGACCACTCTATAGACTCTAGACTCTTGTTTGTTCCACAAGAACATCAAATAAGGAAATGGAGGAGGTCTCTCCACATGGCGGCTATATTAAAAAGAACACTTGTATTCGATATTTTAGGAATTTGTGGTCAACATTTTAGGAAAGATATTTTTATCAATTTAGAATCCTAAAGGAAAAGTTAAACAAGTAAGCAATGGTTACAAACAGGCGGGGCTGACCATCTAATACCCTACGGCAAACACTAACTTTTTAAAATCGCGTCTAAAAAGAACGATGAAATCATAAATTTAATGAAACTGCAATAAATAGCAAATTATAAATTTCAATACAGTTTTACTGTCAGATAAGCTAGCTTATGTTTGGGAGTTTATATTAAGACATTTAATAAGTCACTTGTCCACACACACACTTGTCCTTTCATATTGATTTGGGACAAAGAATGTTTAATCGAAGTATCAAGTTTCTTTCTCAGATTTTCGACTTATGTTATTAAAAAGAAGATTTAGTGATCATTACGTCCCCTTTCGAATAATCCTCATACAAAAAAAAAGATCCTGAGAGAGAGTTCCTCTCGTTGTATAATATTATGAATGTAGGGCCACAATTTCGATGTGCCCATCAAAAGTAAAATACCCAAAAACACACAGTGTTGTAGGAAATGTGGCTAAAATATCCAATACACCTTAAAAAAGACCACTTTGAATCGGTATAGAATTTCAGACTGACCAAAAAAAATATATATATTTATTTTGAGGGATCTATATTGATAGCTTGTAGAAGTTACTAACTGTATGTCACTTGCAATATAATATTTAAAATTCCATTCTACGTCTATCAAATCGAATACATTACAATTCGTGCTTTTCGTGGCCCCTTTTTATACCCTACACCACAAGGTGGTCAGGGTGTTATGTCTTTGTGCATTTGTTTGTAACAGGCAAAGGGAAACGACATAGACCCATAGTGATGATGATCTGCATAGAATCACATTCTGAGTCGATTTATGCATGTCCGTCCGCCCGTCTGTCCATGTATTTTTGTAAACAAAGTACAGTTGGCATTTATTGCCCTATCCAGATGAAATTTTGCACAAATCATTTGTTTGGCCCAAGGACGAACCCTATTGAAATTGGAGATAATCGGTCAAAATTTAGATATAGCTCCCATATATATCTTCGCCCGATTTGCCTTTTAGTGTGCACCAAACGTGTAATATCAGTCCGAATAGTATGGAATTTTGCACGGACGATCAGATTGGACCCGAAAATAAGTATGCCAAATTTGATCGAAATCGGTTCAGATATAGCTATAGCTCCCATATATATTATTCATCCGATTTGTTATTTTAGTCAGCCGCAGCCGTAATATGCACTCTATAACAACAGTATTTGGGGAAATTTATCAAACACAGCTCAGAAATACATTGGCAAAATGTTATCGAGATGGGTTCGGATTTGGATATATCTCCCACATATAACTTCGTCCGATTTATATTTTGTTGTGCACCAAACGTCTAATATTTGTCCAAATTGGATGAAATTTGGCACTTACGACCGAATTGAGTCTAGAAGCTAGTATGTCAAATTTGGTGAAGATCGATTCAGATATAGCTATAGCTCCCATATATACTGTTCATCCGATTTGTTACCCACAGCCATAATATGCACTCCGTAACAACGATATTCAGGGAAATATATCAAATACAGCTCAGAAATATTTTTGCCAAATTTTATCGAAATCGGTTTCGATTCGGATATATCTCCAATATATATTTCTATCGAATTTCAAATTAATTGTGCACCAAATGGGCAATACAAGTCCGAATTTAAAAGATACAAATGCTTCGGCATATTTAGTGCTTTGAATTTTAAATTAAAATCAAAGGGTGTACGATTGAATTCTCCCATAAAAACTTTTAATTGTTATGCGGAGCTCTACTAAATTAACAAAGTGGTGTAGGGTATGATAAAGTTGGCTCCGCCCGACTTTATGACTTTCTTTACTGGTTATGTCTTCAAAATAAAAATCATTAGATTCTACTTCTTTTTTTCATTGTTTTGGGAACTTCATTTCCAGCCCCTGCGAACATATTTTGTTTGCCAAAAAATATAAACAAAAGTTATAGTCAATAGATTCAGGTATCAATATAAAAGCAATACGAATGGGACAGAATTAAATTACCTTCAAAATAATACAATTAAAAAAAATACCTAAAAAGAAAATGAAAAATATTTACCGTAAAATATAATAAATACAAGAAAAAATTACCCAAAATATTTTCTATTATTTACATAGATATTGAATATGGACGAACATTAAAACCCATAACAACAACATCAACCATTGAAATACCAACACATCCGATGCTGCCTCCATCGTCATCGCCATCAGACTCCGAATTTACACCGCAATCAACACTCGGCGTAGCATCGGATATGGAAACAACAACAGCAAAAGAGCAACTTAATGGTTTACATGGTTTAGTTGATAGCATTCTGGAGGCCCTGCCACAGGATCAAATACTGGCAACATTCTTTGATAAACTCGAGTCGAGTGAACAGTTTTCCAAACTTGTCGATAATATTGGCAGTCCGGAGTTCGCGAAAATACTAAACAATATGCAGGTGAGTGTGTGTGAGTGAGTCAGAGTGAATGAGGATGTGAGCCAGTGCTTTTATGAAGTATTTTTCATACCTCTTAAATACAACAAGTTTTCATACACTTTTTTTTTATTATTTTTGATGTTATTCAAATATTTCAGTTTTTGAAAGTGGATGTGTTCAAAAGTTTTGTTATTCTAAACCTTTATTTGAAATACAATTTTTTATTTTTTTGTTTTGCAAAAGAAAAATTGTACGCCAGTGGGTTCAAAGTAAAATAAAACAAAGAAAATAAAAAAAAAAAAAAGAATTGAAAACAATGCACTTCAAAGGATTTGGAAATAGTAAAAAAGTATGGCATTGTACGTGATTTTAATAACAGGATTTTACATCGAAATCTATATATTTTGCAAACTTGCAAGGGTCAAGGAGAAAAGTTCTCGCCGATAACAAATAGTTGATTGATTCCAGTTTTAGTTGAATAAAAAATGGAGTTATGTCCTAACTACCGAGGGCATATTTGACGTGCCCGAAAGTATGCTATTCAACAGAATTTACTTTACTATTTTGATAGAATTATGTAATTTAAAAGTCCTATTTGGGGCAATTGATTGTCAATGTATTAAATTAAACGATAAAGAACACCCAGGAGTTGTCGAAATTGAATCTTGCTTCAAACAGCTCTATGAAAGATAAGTCGAATTTTTTGCATGATCAATCGCCTTAAATGTTCACAAAGAGGTAGGAGATAAAACCGCTGTTCCTGGAAAAGTCTGTTCTATAGAAAACATCATACATAATAGCTACCAGTGATATTACGAAATGTTGTAGGAAAAATTGAGTTCTATGGGCAAAAATTGTCATACCCCACAACACTATTTGTTGGTCGTATTACAGGGTGAGATAAAAAACTGAACAAAGTTAAACGCCAATATTTTTACATATTTTTTTTAATTTTATTGAATGATTTAAAATTCTAAGCTACATTTTCAAATTGATTTTTTCCGAAATTTTCTATTTATTTTTCAATTCCAATTTAAGATAAAAACATCCTTGCCCCAAATACTTCAAATATGTCAATGATTACAAGGGATTGAGTCGCATCTGCAAAGCAACTGGTCTGCGTTAAATTTCAATAATTTCGTCGTAGGTCTTGTTGAAAAATGGGCCATCAAACAAATGTTGGCCTTAGAACCAATTGAGCTTTTCTCCACAGACTTTCTACAATCACCCAATCTTAGAATTACTTCCCCTTTGCATTTGATTACCTTAATTATTTTCGAGTGTACCCCCAATTATTCCTGAATAATATATTTGTATGTATTTAAAGATTTCTTATGTAGGCATAATAATCACTTTACAACAACTCGCCATACATATGAAATACAAACACGTATAACATAGAGGTGGCATGCTTTTATGGAAGAGCTATAAACGTTCTTCCAAAAAACGTGATCGAAATGCTTAATTTAATTTTTTAAAGGCTTTTTATACGAAAATCAATTTTGAAATTTATATGTAACTCTAACATATTATTTTCTTAGAAATTTTTGTAAGGATTCATGATTTTTTTATTTCCGCTCTCCTTGGATGAGGAAATTTTTATACCCTCCACCATACATGGTAAAGAGGGCATAGTAAGTTCGTCATTCCGTTTGTAATTTAACGAAATAATAATTTTAGACCCAACAGCGTAAAATTCTAAGATGTTTTAGCCAACCGTTTATTCGTCTGTTTTAATCACGCTACAGTCAAAACGAATTAAGTTAGGAAACTAAAATTTTTCACAGATCTGTCGTTTGTCTGTAGGCAGGTCAAGTTCGAAGATGGGCTACATAGGATCACGATATCGTATAGCTCCACTACCCCCGACATTCGGTATTTTTCATGATTTTAGCCAAAATTTTCAATGGAATTGTCTGAAATTGTATGCAATGAGTTCTTTGTGATTATTTTACCACCTGGAAGAGAATTCGGCATTCCGATATTCGGTATTTTTAAGATTTTAACAGAATTTTTAATGGATTTTAGTTTTTTGAGAATTTCCTAATTCGTTGCACATGGCGGAGGGTATTCAAAGTTCGGCTCTGCTGAACTTGCTGCCCTTTTTTTTTGAGATTTGTATGTTTTCTTTACAAAGCAAAATTTTTCAATTCGCAGTTGAAATAAGATATGGAGTTAGATGGAGGTAAGAGTATACATGTCAATTTATCCTGACTATGTCTTTCGTAGGAATACAATATTTTTAATAAAAAAAAAAAAATACAAACAGCAAAAACGAATACCTCAAATTCAGTCTTATTTTAAGCACATTTAAAATAGGTAAATAATTAATAAACAAGTAAAAAAGCTATAAGTTTGGCCGGGCCGAACTTTGAATACCCTCCACCATTTGGAACGAATTTGGAAATTCCCAAAAACAATAAAATCCGTTAAAAATTCTGTTAAAATCTTAAAACTACCGTATGTAGTTCTTATATTAGGGTCCATACGAACCTGCATAGGTAACATTTGTCATAAGCCATTACAATATACAAATGCGAAACTTAAAAAAAATCGGTTATAATATCGATAAAATCAAAATACCGAATATCTGGAGGTACCGTTATATGGGGACGAAGACGTGAACCTGCACAGAAAATTTTCTGGTTTAGGCTGTAGTATTCATTACGAACTTCAAATACCTAATTTGAAACAATTCCGGTTAATAAATTCGCTTAATTCATCAAAATACCTAATATAGGGAGGTACCGTTATATGGGGGCTATACGATGACGTGGACCTGAACAGACAATTTTCTGTCTTAGGCTGTAGTATCCATTACGAACTTCAAATACGAACTTTACAACAATATCGGGTGAATAATTTCGCTAAAATAATCAAAATACGGAATATCGGGAGGTATCGTTATATGGGGGCTATACCAAAACGTGGACCTACATGGCCCATTTTCAATAACAAAAGCCCTGCAGACATTTGAGTAAAATTTTATCTATCTTCTTCAATTCGATCGGAAGCTAGAGTAATTTTCACAGACGGACAGACGGATGGACCTCGCTAAATCGACATAAAATTTGTTGCTGATCAAGAATATGTATACTTTGTGGGGTCTAAAATATGTATTTCGAGGTGTTACAAACGGAATGATAAACTTAATATATCCTCCATACTATGGTGGAGGCTATAAAAAATCAAGTACAGATTTCACTTTAATCACAGAACTTTTATATCTCAGAAAAGAATTAAATTATTATTTCTTGAAAAAAAAATATTTCTGCACATCAATTTCATCGTAAAGACAGGCTACAGCACAACTGATTTAAAAGAAAATCTTTGATTACCTTTGTCATTTTAACATTTGCATTTTCCAATATAAATAGAATTAAAGATTTTTCGTTTAATAACTCCACATTCAATAATCTGATATGGCTCAACTTTACTTGTTGATATCCATTGAGTAATTTTATGATTATTTAATGTTTTCTCATTTCGTATTTTATTTTTATGTTCGCATTTTTATTTTATTTTTTTTTTACAGAATTCAGTACCACTGAGAAATTTCATATTTACCCTGCACAATAACGGAATTTATGTCATACGAATTGTTGACTCGTTAAAATCATATTTTTTCCTGGGAGGATTTTAAATGACATATAAATACTGAACGGGCCGCCAGCCCACATACATATACTACGTACGCACATCACATTACTTTTAAGAAATTCCTTTTATTTTCCACAAAAAAGAAAGAGAGAAAAACAATCTCTTTCTCCTTCATTGGGCTATTATCTGATGCCCGCCTGCCTGGATGCCAGCATTACTGTCAACGCCATTACAATCGACATTTCCATCATCCAAAAACCAATCCCCAGCGCAACAATCAAATCAAACCCAAATCAACAGCCAAAACCCCGGAATGAGCAGAAATCAAACACACAAAAGGCGAAAGTGCCAGCACAAAACTACGTCAACGGATCAGTTCAAAATGGAACACAAAAAAAATATTATAATGGAATCATAAAATAATTCCAGTCAATAAAAGGTCAAATGTTCGCTGGGCCAATTTTAAGAAAAAAAAGCGGAAAGAGGTTGGCATGAAGGAAGTGGACGTCGAACGATTCTAAGCGCACGCACTCACTCACTCAAATCTCACACTCCCAAAAGTTCATATTTTATGTATGAACGAACAGTTCTTTCGCTTTTTTTATTAGAGTAGTAAAAAAGTTGTGCTTTTTATTTTTCTCCTCCTCCTTCAATTTTTGTATAGGGATAACAAATAAAAATAAATAAAATAAGAATCAAAGATAACTATAGAATGGAAACCTGACAAAAGAAAGAAAAGGATTGCTAAGGGGTCGGGTCGAGTTTGTTGGGATATGAAAAAGGTAAATATGAGGTAAGTGATGGAAAAAAATGAGGGGGGAAATCTATTCCTAAAAGGAGTACGAAAATGTTTAAGTAATTAAGCAAGTTAATTTGGTATGCAGTCGCATATTTAACAGAGGAAATTCTTTACTAAAAAGTACCAGTTGTAATTCAGAATTTCGATTTTAAATTTTAGACTATTCAAAATTTAGCAGAATATTTATGTCACTTTAATCACTTATTCATACACTTCCAACAAGAGGAAGAAAAAGAAATAAAAAACGGTAAATTGTGTTAAAATTGTTTTAAAAAAATTGGTGGAATACACCTATAAAATTAACCGGGTTAAAAAACGCGACCAATGGAATACATCACAGGTGAACATAATATATGTTCATATTTGGCAGGCTAGGACTTCAAGAATTATCATATATTGGTAAGAAAATTTTTGTTTGAGGGAATTTTAATATCTACAACTTTTGCTGGAACAACATTTTAATTCCTGAAATTTCTAAAATTAGATATCTTTTTTGCTTGCATGGGATTTAGAATAAATTTGCTTTTTTATACCCTTCATCTTGAAAAGGGGGTATGTTAGCTTTGTAATTCCTTTTGTAACATGCCTAAATATTCGCCCTAGAGCCATATAAAGATCGACACTTTGGTATTTTTTAGTGCCAACCTTCCTTTCCAAAATACCCCAGACACTATAGTCCAACAGATTGGTATCCGGAGATTTTGGTGGCCATAGTGCGCTGGGAATGAAGCGAGAAACCAGTCCAAACATACGACCGAATTTAATTTGGAAGTAAGTGTGTTCATTTTGGTGAAGATTGGTTCAGACGTAGCAGTAGGTACCATATCATCTGATTTCCCATTTAATTCCCAACACACGTAAAATTAACCCCACAACATATTAAATTTGGTACCAGTTAGCAGATGCAGCGAACAAATACTTCTACTAAATTTTATATAGATCGGTTCAGATTTGATATAGCTCCCATATATATCTTCATCATATTTCACGTTTATTATTACAGTAAAACTGCAATATCAGCTCAAATAGGATGGATTTTGGTGAGAATCTCTCTTATATAAACAGGGTGAGATAAAAAAACTGCAACAAAGTCAAACGCCATAATTTTTACATTTTTTTTAAATTTTATTGAATGAAATCAAAAAAAGTTAGAAATAGAATCAAATTTTAGAATAAGTTTAGATTTGTTCGAATTGGTCACCATTGTGGCCTTCAAAAGGGCAATGAAACCATTACACGATGCCCAAATGTTGCTCTGCGGTATTTTGGCCCTTTCCCGGCGAAGCGCTTGCTTGAGGTGATCGATACTTTGGTATTTTTTTGGGGAAACCTTGCTTTCCAAAGTACTCCAGTCACAATAGTCTAACGGATTGATATTCGTAGATTTCGGTGGCCATTGTGCGCTGGAAATAAAACGAGGAACCTCATTCTCTAAGCATTCATGGGTGGCGCGTTCTGAGTGCGATGATGCTGAGTCCTGTTGGAATGTCAAAGGTCTGTGGCTTAATACAACCTTCGCGATAACATTCGGCATTTATTCTGATGCCACGGTCGATCAATACGAGCGGAGTGCGGCCATCGGCCAGATTGTTTGCGTGCCCAAGGTCTTAATACACACTTCGCGATAACATTCGGCATTTATTCTGATGCCACGGTCGATCAATACGAGCGGAGTGCGGCCATCGGCTGTGGCGGCCCACACCATCACCATGGCCGGCGATTGAGTTTTGATGGTCAACCGAAGGTGCACATTATCAGCTGACCTCTTTGGCAGGTAAACACGATCATTTTGATTGTTTATAAAAATGCCGGACAATGAATGTTTTCTCATCAGAAAAAACCAAATTCGGCAGTTTACCACTTTCGGCCAAGCGAAGAAACTCTTTAGCTCTTTAGAGTCTATTTATACCCTACAACACTATGTGTTAGGGGTATTATAAGTTTGATTGGGCAAAAAATAATTAACACCTCGAAATATTGGTTTCCCATATAGGAAAGTATATATGGATCTTCCTAGCTCGCCGAGCTGAGTCGATCTAGCTATGTATGTCCGTCCGTCCGTCTGTCCATGTTAATTTGTAATCACTGTACAGGTCGCAATTATGGTCCGATCTTCACGAAATTTAAAATGGAGGTGGGGCTAGGGTCAGAATAGAACCCAAAAAATTTCTCGATTTTGCAGTGGCTCTGCATGTCGCAATTATAGACCGATCGGAAGTTAGCATGGGGCTAGAGCTTAGGGCTGGGCAGAAGCCTTCCAATTTTGATGGTCATCGGGTAATATTTAGTGAGAGAAATAGACCATAACAGTTGTGTTAAATAGAAGTCAAAATTTCCATTAAACGGCGAATATTTTTAATCCCGGCTAAACCACAAATAGACGAATGGGTCAATTCTGACCATAACATAGATGCCGATAGTAAATATATCGAAATATATACAATGTGCATATACAAAGGAAGAATATGTTAGCTAGAATGCTTATATCTCAAGAATGGCTGGACCGATTTAGACAAATTTTGTCAATTCAGAATGCCCTCTTGTCATAAAAATGTAAAATCTAAAAAAATCGCATAAAAAGATGTCAATAATGTTAATATAGATGTTGTGGTATTTTGTGACATATTGTTATTTTTTCATATTTTTTATCGCATGTGATTTTTTCAATTTGACTTATAATATTGAAGTGTACATTTTGTAATATTTTTTTCACCTTACAACACAGGTTGGGGTTATTATATACAAATTGAAATTATCTTCCGACCGTAACGAAAATTTTTACAAGGGTAGGGTTAGGCTCAGAAGGCATAGACCTATTCTTTTCAAAGATGTCCGCAATATATTTAGGGGTTAACATCGACCAACAACTAAACATGTTCCTGATGTTGCAGCCGTTATAAAGGTCACAAATAATAACAAAAGGACACGAAATCTGGCATGAAATTAGAGTTTAGAACAGCGTGTAGTATGGACCACTACTATTGCGTGAAAATACCAAAATACCATTCCATCGACACTCAGAAAATAACTTGAATGCGAGCTCAAAAATACACAAAAGGCGAACGTCTTACGCTGATTTCGTTGACGAATATAGGCAAATATCGTAGACAATTAAATCATAGAGATGAGACTAAATTTGGAGATACAGAGTAGCCTCTTGCTTTTGGAAATTATCGCAAAATATTCAAATGAACCAAAATGTGTGTAAAATGGACCACAACAACTAACAGCAAGAAGGAGTGCGTAAATATTGGGCAAATGTCCCTGATCAAAACGCTAAGGGTAATATCTGGGCAGTGCTCCGTGACATAATTTCAAAAGCGAAATTTTTCAAGATGGATTTGGACATAATGGGGCTTCTAACATATTGTAGTGTTGTAGGGTATCACATGGTCGGCCCCGCACGACTATAGCCTTTGCTTACTTGTTTCTTTCTGTTGTGGTGTAAGTTCTTGCATTTTTTTGAATTTCAATTGCTTACCCCGACCTCATTTTTTAATAATTGCCGAATGGAATATTGCGATATGTTCAGCTCACAAGTCATTTCTTGGCCACTGCTTCGCGGGTTTCGATCAAGTCGCTTCTTTACTTTTCGAACCATTTCTTCTGATGTTGCTGTTTTCTTCCGTTCACTTCCTTGACATATGTCGGGCTACGCTACCAGTATCACGGTAACGAGCAATGGTACAAGACACAAAAGATTTATTCACATTTAAATGCTGGAGTGCTCTAACGATAGCCACTTGTGGTTTTCCAATTAAATATAAAGAAAATACGCTTGAATTCCATCAGGAATAACTTTTTTTTGGAAAATTCTCACCAAAATGCTTTTGTACACTTATAAACAATATAATGAGCTGTCACTGGAATATTTTAACAGCAGTCGGACGAGTGGCCTTGAAATGACAGCAGTCTGAGGTTGGTTGCAGTTTTTTCTTCGTACCCTGTATATGTACCTGAATTCGTTGTACGACAAACATTGGTGAAGAATTTAACAAATAACCACATCTGAAATATCTTTAAGGAACGTAAACACAATTTTTTCTTTCCCTGAGTCCCACCGAACCCCTTACAACACGATTTTGGCATGTTGCAAAACAAAAATGGGAACCAGCAAAAATTACAACCATTTACGAACAATGTGAATGACAACAAAAAGCCATGCAACCGGAGGGCGACGAGGAGAATTCTCGGTAAGAATCAACAGTAGGTAGGTAGTAAAACGTTAACAAATTGATAATACCGTTACACAAATGAATACTCAATAAAAATATTAAAGGAAAGGTTTACGGTTTTTTATTGTATTATATTTTTGGTTATTGCTATTTTTCGTTATCCGATTTTTAT